CCCATGGTCCCCATCCTGGATCCTAGAGGAACAAGGGGGCCTTAGGGAAGGCTCCCCACTTTGGTGTGACAGACTGCACCTGGGGCCTGGTTGAGACAAAGGTAGTGACCTGGGAGACCCCCCATGAGCACCCCCCCCCGAGTCAAGCAACCGCCCAGCACCCAGCTGTATCCTTCCCAGGAACCCCAGGGAAAAGCTGAGGAGAGGTCCAGGGAACTGCACGATGGCAGCAGCCCAGCAGGCTGGGAGTGGTGGTTCGGACGGTTCAGAGGGCCACCACATCCCGACCGTCCAGCTGCCAAGCCCAGGGCCTTGGTGGGCAAACCCGACTCATGGGGTCCTTCAGGTTGACTCTGAGCCGGGGCATCACTTCCTGCCTTCGGCTCCAGGCCCGTGTCATGTGGGGCGCCTCTCCCTCACCCCAGGCACCTGCTGACACAGTAGCCTGGGAGTGGGACGGCTGGGGCTGAGGTCCCTGTGGGTGACACCAGGGAAGGTGCTCCTCCCACCCGTGAGGGCTCTGAGACCTTGGGCCAGGCTGGTACTCCTTGAGACTCCCCTCCTGGATGCTCACACAGGCCGACAGTCCGGCACAGGCTGACTAGACAGGGGCCAAAGACTTCGCTGCAAATCAGCAGCCAGGAAAAGGTTGTGTCCAAGCTCCGCACCATCTTCTTCCCCAAGACAAATTCCCTCTGGATTAAACAGGTCCAGCAAATGGCATCCCCCGGAGAGCACGTTTAGCAACCAAGTGTTGCTGCAAATCAAGTTTGATTGGGGTGTGTATGTGTGCTCTCACACATGTCACCATGCCCCCACGCAGCCCAGAGGAGAAAACATTGATCATTTTGCAGAAAGCCTGGTCCACATCTCTGGATTAAAGGGTTAAAGTGCTAAGGATGAACCCCCGCCCCCAGCCCTGCTCTCTGGCAGATGCCCCCCACCCCAGAAACAGTGCCGGGGCCCAGCAGGCCCAAGAGGTAATGGAGGCTGCTGGATATAGTGTTTACCGAGCACATAAGAAGAATGGCATAGCAAAGAACAAAGAGATGTTCAAGTCATTTGCAACAAGTCTGGAAATTGTCTCCATCTTTCATGTCGAACCTTCAGTTCCAATCCCCAAGAGAAAGCCGGGACCTCGGCGGCGGGGCGAGGTCGGGACGAGACAAGTCGCTGGGCGCAGGAGCGCAGGGATGCGATTAATAAGGCGGCCAAGCAGTGCACACGCCCACGAGCCATTAAACGGAGAGAGAGCAAAGGCCAGGGTTCCGACTTGCTTTTTTTCCCCTCTGCCGAAGACTGGCAAGGCCGCCAGAGCCGCCATCAGCTGCACCCCAGAAGCCCTTGGGCGGACCTTTTGGCAGGAGGCACATCTGTCTGGGCACTGCCTCCTCGGACAGGCCTGGCTTTACCACGCCCGCCCCCCAAGATGCTCGGCAGAGCCCCGCGTCAGCCAAACGGTCCCGGCAGCCTGGATCTCCACAAATAGCCAAATAATTAAGTGAATGACAATCTCTTGAGAGAATATTGTGCAGCCATTACAAATTGTAATTACAGCCCGTGAGTGCCCCACTCCGCTGCAGTGGCCGCTGCGTAGCGCGCGCTTCGCCCAGGCCTCACGCAGGAAGCCTCACACAACAAAATTCAACTAGAGCCATTTTGAAAAAAGCATTCATTTCGGAAGGGATTACATTAATACAGAAAATGCTTATGTGAAGTGGAAAGCAGATTACACAATTGGGCCGTGGCATAATTACAGCCGTGGCAATAAACACCCGATGCAGAGACCACAGAGCAGAAGCAAATGCAGTAACATGGACACTCGGCCACGGGGGCCGCTATGGGTGTCCAGGGAGGGGCGGGCACAGGCTAGAGCAGCAGGGGCGGCCAGCGGACACAGTCGCCTCCCAGTATTCCTCTCCCTCTCACCCCCTTGCCCACGGGCCCCTCCATGGAAGGGCCGTTTGCTTGAGCGCCTCCACTGGAAGGAACCTTTGGGGAGGGGCCGCTTGGGAGTGCCCCCAGGGTCTGCGTTTGACTTGGGCACACGCTGGGCCTAAAGCTGCTCCAGACACCACACTGAGCCTTCCGGAAGGAGGGAAACATTCGCAGTCCTCACCGTCCCGCACAATGGCCACTGGACACTGAAGAGGTGGCGGTACCCCCCGACAAGCAATCTTGCGTTTTCCTTCACTGTCATCACATTGCCTCACAAGCAGAGTTCTGGAAAGTGCCAGGGACTGCGGCCCGAGAAAGACCAAATTCGAGTCTGAGAGACACCACGACAGAATGACCAGGCAGCTCTGGGCGCCGACTGCCACCCCCCACCCCGCCCCACCGTGGCACAGCTCTAATCTGATCGGGACACCTCCATGCACCAAGCCTTTCTGCCACCCGGGCCTTGCGTCCAGCTCCTACCCCTCCTCAGCTAGGTGACCTTGCCTTGGTCCCCTTCCCCACCTTGGCTACCCAGGCAGGTGTGGCTACCGGTTCCAGCTTTCCCGCTGTGCCACCCCACAGGCCTGGGTGGTTTGGCAGCTGCTCCTGGGCTGCCTTCCAGAGCCTCCCACCCAGCAGAAGGTGTGCCTGCAGGGGTGGGCCCGGCATGGCCTCTGGGAAGGGAGAAGGGACGGGGCGGGTCCTGGGTGCCGGCCGCGGCATCCTGCCTGGGCCCACCTCAGAGATGACTTCGCTGAGGCTCCTGGGCAGCATGTGCCCCTCTTTGGTCACAGCTGAGTCCACACCAGGCCCACAGAGTCTTCCTGGGACCGGAAGTGTCATGGCATCCCACGACGACAGAGCCAGCCGCTGGGCGCACACCAGATGTGGGAGCCCAATGGCCTGGGTGGCAGTCCAGGTGTCACTGCCTACTGGCTGTGTGGCCTTGGGCTAGTGACCTTTCTTAGCCTCAGTCTCCTCATGCATGAAATGGATGAAATCTCCCGAGTGGTCCTGGCTGCTGCCAGGGGTTCCCGGAACGGAACAAGTGTTTCCAAGCCCTGGAAGTGGGCCTCGGCACAGGCTGAGTGTTAATGCCATTACCACAGTCCTGCCGGCCAGTGGAGGCTGACAGAGGCTGCAGCCCTCAGCTGACCAGCTGCGCGCTGAGTTCAAAGGGCAGAGGCGGCCAGGTGCGGGTTTCAGCTCTCAGAAAGCCCCAGGGACCCTGGCCAGCGCCCCTCCCACAGCAGAGAAGCCCGCGGCTGACCCCGGCCCCCCCCCCCCCCGACCACATTTCTTCTGTGATGGCAAGTGCGCACAGACTCAGCGCCCGGCCTCTCCCCGCTCTGGGGCTGACAAATGATTCAGCCTTAGAAGCTCCGCTCCAGCTCAGAGCCTGAAATGTCAGCAGCAGACGCAGTTCGAAACCGCCCCGACCCTCCCAGGCCATGAACAGGGAAGGGACTTGGCCAAGGTCACGAATGTCAGCAGGCCTCGAGGTGCCATGGAAGCTGTGCCTTCCCGCTTCTTAGGCCTGGGCAACCGCCACCGCCTCCTCTGTCCCTGCCATCCCGGCACCCCAGATCTTCCCCTCTGGGGCTTCCTTCCCCAAAGGACAGGCTCTCCTTCTGGCTCTTTGTAATCCCCTTCCCACACTGCCCCATGTCCACCTGTGTCACCCCCACAGCCTGGCAGTGCCGGGCACAGTGCAGGTGGGTCTAGTGAAGAACAGCTGTGCCTTTGGCCCTCTGCCTCCCCCAGGATGGCCGCAGGACCCACCGAGGGCAGCGCCACATCAGCCTGGCCCTGGCCTCTCTCTGGTCCAAGCTCCAGGGCCCAGCTCCACCCTTGGCCCTTGGCTGCCCTGGGCAGCGCCCCCTGCTGGCCAGGGAAGGCGGGACTCCTGCTGCCTTGCAGACCTGGGGCCGCATGTTCCCGGCAGGGCAAGTGCGGATGTTGGCGACGCTGGCTCCCGGCCTTGATGGAGAGGCTCGGCTAGGGTGTATAAACTGGGTCCGGAGTGTGTGGGGAAATTTCAGGCCCCGGGCCCTGGGGCGGGGGGGGGGGCGGCAATCTCCAGCCATCCACCCATCCCGCGATCCAAGGGCTAAGCCCCTTCCCCTCGCGGGGCCTCCACGTGCCCACCTGAGAAACAGGGACAGAACCCAGGCCTGGCGCTCCTCAGCAGGTGATTAGTCAAGGTCGGGAGTGTGCCAGCTCAAAGGGGCTCCCAGTGAGGGAGCTGGGGGTACCTAGGGGAACCTAGCTGGGGGTGAGGGAGACACGGGCCTGGCAGATGCATCAGTGCACTTAGGTGGGAGACCCCCCCAGGGCGTGCTCTTGGGGACTGAGGGGCTCCACCGACCCTGGCCTGGCTGGGAAGTGTCTGGTGTCAAGCTGAGGGGCCCTGGGACTGCAGGCAGAAGCAGGACAGAGCCTGCGGGAGCCTGGGGCGCTCCAAATTCCAGCAGCCCCAGCCCCGAAGGTTGGGAAGACTGAGGCCAAGGTCGCGCAGAGGGTGGTGGGGGGCAGCTGTCCCCAGGGCTGGCTGCGGTAACGGCGGCGCCCTGGGCTCGCCCCTGCAGCGCTCCGTTGCGCGGGCGTGTGGGCACGCGGAGGACCCCGTGGGAACGCGCCTGTGAGGGCCACTCAGCGCGCACCTGGCCCGGGGGAGGGCGGCACGGGGGGAGGCCGCCGGGGGCACGGCGTGCGCGCGGCCTCCCGGAGTCCGAGCTGCGCCCTCCCGCGACCCGGCCCACAGCCCCCCGCGGCCATTCCCCCGCCGGAGATGCGCGTGCGCGCGGGATGCAGAGCGCTGGGTGCGGGTGCGGGTGCGGGTGCGGGGCACCCCCGCCCCAGGCCGACCCGGGGCCCCCCGGGGTGACGCTCTGCCGCGGCGCCGCAAGGACACGCAGGCCTGGCGCGGAGCGCAGGTGCCACTAACGGGGATCCGCGTCCCCCCCACCTGCCGCCCTCGGCACCTGCCGGCCCGGGCCTCCCGCCCGCGCCCGCGCCCGCGCCCACCGACGAGGCGCCCGTGCGCCCCGGGCACCACTTACCCGGTCATGGGCACGGCCGCCGCGGCGGCCTCAGCTCCGGCGGGCGCTGGCGCTGCGGCGAGCGCCGGGCGGGCACCGATCCGCTTCCAGGCACCCAAAGGCCCGCGGCTCAGGGCGCCTGGGCCGGGGCGCGGGGCGCGACCCTCCGCGACCCTCCGAGGCGAGAGCCGCGGCCGAGCGCTCCCCACGCTCCGCACCGGCGGTGGCGGGCGACGCGGCGCGCTCGGCTCCAGCCGCAGCTCTGAGAGCGCCGGAGGGAGGAGGCGAGAGGGAGTGAGCGCGGAGGGGGGAGGCGCGGGGAGGAGGGAGCGGGCGCGGGGGGCGGTGCGCGGTGCGGGGGCCGCGGGGCTCCCGAGCCGCGCACCCGGCCGCGCCCTTCAGGCCGCCCAGTCACCCCCGTGGGTGCTGCTCGGCAGGTTGCTAGGTGCCGCTGTGAGGCCGGGGGTCCTGGCGACACCCGTGCAGCCCCGGCCTGTGCAGCCCTCGGACCGTGCCTCGGCCTAGGCCGTCCCTGGGCCCTGCTGTAGTCGGAGACCTTGGCGGCCAGGTGGCCTCACCTGAAACTATCCCCCACCAACGGCGACATCTGAACGTCTCCAAGACGGGTGCGGAACTTGGGTCATGCCTCGAAGTCAGTGGCCCCAAAAGGTTATCGCACCGCACCGTGGCACACCGGCACCCCCTCACCCCCCCAAGGGCCCCCCCCTCCGCTGGTGTGTGTCCAGGAGTTCACTGGCAGGCCCCACCCAGGTGCTCTGCAAAATCTGCGTGCATGGGGGCAGCCAGGAGAGGGGGCGGAGTGCCATCCGAGGGGCTCCCAGTGAGAAGGTGGCAGCGGCGGTGGTGGGGGGATTCGGGGCACTGAGCACCACAGAGCAGGGCCAGGTGGGCACAGAGGGAGTGCGGCTCGCCCTGTGCCCCAGGCGAGCATTCAGGGACCAGTGCTGGTGTAAGGGGTGGGACCTTCGAGGAGTGGCCACAAGGACAGACACCTAAAGGACACAAAGGCACTGCAGGGGCCGCACCCCAGCCAGGCACCGTCAGGCCCTTCCTCCGCCCTCCTCAGGAAGCAGAGGGGCATCTCTGAGCTCTGTCCAGTGCCGATGAGTACACTAGTGCACACACCCTCACATGCACCTGCACACAGCGCACATGCATGCTCTCAGTCATAGGCATACACACAAGTGCACGCACACCCTCAGCCAGCCACGTACACCCACACACCATCAAGTGCACGCACATCCTCTCCCCACACACTCTCGCACAGGCACATGCACGCACACCCTCAGTCATACACACTCAGACTCATGCACTCACACTGTCATTCAGATACACTCACACAGTTAGATGCAATCACGCCGTCAGACATATACACAGACTCATGCACTCACGCCGTCAGACATAGGCACTCTTACACAGTTACATGCATTCACACCCTCAGTTATATACACTCATACACATGCAAGCACACCCTCAGTCATATGCACCCAGACTCATGCACTTACACTGTCACTCAGATACACTCCCACACAGTTACATGCATTCATGCCATCAGACATATACTCTCAGACACATGCACGCACACCCTCAGTCATACACCCAGACTCATGCACTTACACTGTCACTCAGATACACTCCCACACAGTTACATGTACACACACACCCTCGGTCATATACACTGACTCATGCACTCACACTGTCATTCAGATACACTCACACAGTTACATGCAATCATGCCGTCAGACATATACACAGACTCATGCACTCATGCCGTCAGACATATACACTCTTACACAGTTACATGCATTCACGCCATCAGTTATATACACTCATACACAGGTACGCACACCCTCAGTCATACACTCACGCACATGCACTCACGCTGTCAGTCATATACACACACAGATACATGCATGTGCATGCAAACTCTCAGTCCTATAGATTCACACACAGGCACATTCACATGCACTCTCAGTCATATGCACAAACATCCTCAGCCCTGCATACTCACACACACAGGAACATGCACTCAGACCCTCATTCATATACTCTCACACAGTTACGTGCACATTCATACGCAGTCATAAAAAGTCACACCGTCATATGCACACAGCACCACAGTCATATACACTCATACACAGTCAGTTATGCATACCCGCAGTCACAGACACTCAAGCAAGACACATTCATGCAAAACTTCAGCTCTGCGCACACACTAACAGGGGCACATGCACGTCAGCCCTTCACGCACACAGGCACATGTTCTCACACCCTCAGCCATTTACACTCACACACACAGTCACATGCATGCACAAATACACTCACACATACATAGTTCCATGTACTCAGACCCTTGGTCATACACTCACACAAAGTGCATGCACTCACATACTGAGTTGCAAACACTCAGATACATGCACTTACACCCCCAGACATACACACGCGCACACAATCACTTGCACTCAAACCTTCACTAACCCTCATATGCACGCACACCCTCAGTGTATACACTCTCCGCAATCACCACCACGCACACCACCAGCTCTACACACTCACACAGTCACACAGATATGTACCTTCGGCCCCAACACTGAGAGTCATACAATCACATTCATGCACGCACACTCACACGTGAGGTCACAGTCAAGCACAGCCTAAGGGGGTGTGGTAGAGCGTCTGGGGCTCTACCTGCAGAGGTGTGGTGGGCCGGTCCCTTCCCCTATCTGTATGAGCAGAAACCCCTGGCAGCTTTTGCCCTGGCTGGTGGCACACCGCCCTGCTAGGGGACAGCAGTGAGGGGTGGGAACTGAGCAGGGGGAGACCCGCGTGCCTCGCCAGGAAGTGATGCAGGAGCCTGAGAATGTCCCCAGAGCTGGCACTCCCTTCTCTCCCGCACCCTGTGACACCTGGTGGCCTCAGGGAGTGTGCTCACTCCCCTCCCGGCTGGGCACCAGCTCCTGTGCTCCAAGCAGAGAAGGCCCAAGGCTGGAGTCGCCCACTGAGTGCCCCCACCTCTCTGTCACCAAGGGGCTTCGGCGTGCGGGGAAAGCCCTGGCACCAGCAAGCAGTACCCCGATGCTTTTTTGCTAGCCAGGACCACCAGACCTGGGAGTAGGGACTCGTGCTGTGTCCTGTCACGGGGGCCAACCTCTCCGGTTCTCTCCATCTTTGCTAGAAGTTTCTTCCAGAAGCGAGACCTTATTTTTTGCATGGATCAGGGCTGCCTGGGGTGGCACCCCCATGGCCCCATCTCTCCCCTCACCCTCTGCCCTTTCTCCTGTCCTTGGTCCCTGCTCCTGGCACCCACATTTACAGACTCCCTGCTAACTCACCCCTCTGGCCCCCCTCCAAGGCGCTCAGCTTAAGCCTCAAGCAGAAGGCTTCCCTAGCCGCTGGCAGGACCCCCTTGTCCCTTCCTCATTGCCTCCATCCACCCAACGGGCGCTGCAGCAGCCTCACACAGGCCCTGAGCCCTGAGCCCTGAGCCCTGCCTACGCGGGTCTCCCGCACCCTGGTGGGCCCCGCTCCCAGATTTCCTAGCCCCCTCAGCCCAGCCTTGATACGGGGACCTCTGGCTGGCCCCTCCCCCGCCCTGGCGCACATCCCAAGGCTCTGGGCCACCAGCGCGCCTGGTCTCCAGGCCAGGTTCACAGCAGCCCCGCGGCAGGCGGCGGTTCTCTCAGAGAAATGTGTGTGTCCTGACCCCTAGAGCCCGCTCGAGTCCGTATTTGGAAATAGGCACAGCGGAGAGAGGGAAGACTGCACGGAGGGCACCCCTGCTCATCCGGGCGGCGCAGCACGAGCGTGCACAGACTGGGTGACAGCACCCTGCACCAGGGACACCGGGAGGCCCCTGAAGGTGGAGAGGCAGGATGGATGTCCTGCATTCGAGGCCTGCAGACAGGGGCTCAGAGCAGACTTCTGGCACCCCCAGTGAGGAGAGAACCTGTTGGATGCCACAAGTCGTTCCAGCCCCCCGTTTCCCTGAGAGTTCCTGAGAGAAATTCACCCCAGGGAGCCCTTTCTGCCCATGGCCCTTTGCGCTGCACCCCTCGTGGCTGCCAGCCTCTTGACTCCAGGACCAGCTTAGCCCAAGAGTATCCCTGCCCTGGCAGTCTTGCACCATGGGCGAAAGCAACTGTTCTAAGCTCTCCAGGGCTGTGCTGTGTCTGTGCCTCTTCCTCTAGAACCAGCCGTGGAAGGGCCTGGAGTTCCAAGCTTCTAGGAAGATTGGGGAGCCCGTGGGGGAGGGGCCTGGAGTCACAAAGGAGGAGCCTGGAGTCATGGGGGAGGGCCCTAGAGCCCCCAGGGGAGGGGCCTGGAGTCACGGGGGAGGGGCCAGGAGCCCACAGGGGCGGGGCCTGGAGCCCTCAGAGAGGGGCCTAGAGCACCCAGGGGCAGGGCCTAGAGCCCACAGGGGAGAGGCCTGGAGCCCCCAGGGGAGGGGCCTAGAGTGACCAGGGGCGGGGCCTAGAGCCCACAGGGGAGGGGCCTGTAGCCCACAGGAGAGGGGCCTGGAGCCCTCAGGGGAAGGGTCTGGACTCACAGGGGAGGGGCCTAGAGCCCACAGGGGAGGAGCCTGGCACCACAGGGGCGGGGCCTGGCGCCCACAGGGGAGGGGCCTGGAGCCCAGAACAAAGGAGTCTGGAGCCCGCAGGGGAGAAACTAAATCCCCATGGAACCTGTGAAGGCTGAAGGCCGCAGTGCGAGCTCTCAGAGCAGCCCCCCGTCCCTGCCAACAATGCATGACCTGTGGCCGCCCTGGCTGACTGCCCCTCCAACAAGCCCTGACTAGTCTAAACCCAAGCCGTGGATTTGGCTTAGGCTCCAGCTGAGCTGCCACATTCAGGAGGCACCTGACTGGGAGTAAGTCCTGGGGGATGCCCCCACCTGGCCACTACTGGGCCCCTGCGCCTTCCAGGAGTCATAGCCTGTGAGCACCTGTGGGCGAGCCTGTCCTCCGACTCAGACACTCGACGGTACTCCCCACCTTGCAGGGGCTTCGAGCCAAGGGGTCACAGTCCCCCTTTCGCACCCCAGGGGCTCCAACCCCACCCTTCCCCTCTTGTCCCCAGCGTCGAGGCGTTCCCTGCACCCCAAGGCCATCCACCTGCCCCAGACTGCGTGGCCCACCAGCGCTCTGTGCCTTGGAGCAGCTGGCACGGAGCCGCACAAGGCCACGTTGCCTAGCAGAGAGCACATGTGAAATGGCGCAGCAGAGGGGCCGTGGTCACCCCGGGTAACCCTGTGCTGCCTCGGGTTTGTTAAGAGCTCAATCAGTCTCAACTGCTGGATTATCATCATCACCATCAGCATCAGCATTACCATCCAGAGGCTTTTGACAGGCTTGATAGCAGAGCCTGCTGAGTAACTCGCCTTTGATGAGTGCTCCGGGGAGGGGCCGCCTTTCATCCCTGAGACACAGCCTGTGGCAGTGTGGCCCCGTCATCTCCGGAGGCGCACGCCTCGGGCTCCAAGTGACACCTGGGATGACCCCGGCTTCTGCGCGGGACAAAGGGGGGCACTGCAGTCGGGTACCACCCCCTAGCCTGCGGGGTGCCGTGCTGGCAAGAGTGAGGCTCTGGGCCCCCCTGGGTGGGCAAGAGTGCAAGAGTGCAAGGTGGGTGGGGGGGGGGGGGAGGGCAAGAGCAGGAAGTGGGGCCAAGGGGCTGTACCGGAGCTGCAGAATGAAGGCCTGTGCCCTGAGCCCTGTGCCGGCCCTGCTCTCCCTCGGCAGGACTCTTGGCAGGCCAGTGCCCTTGCGCTGCCTGCCAGCTCAGCAGAGATAGCTGGGCCGTGGACACATGGCCCAGAATAGTGCTATGACATTCTATCGCTGGCTACCACGCTGAGCGGTGCCTCCCATCCCCAAAGGCAGGAACTTGGGGACGCCCGGGGCCCCAGTGTCAGGCTAGGGGGAAGGGCACTGACGGCGTGCAGCCTTCCTGTGCCTAGGCACACACCCCTGCACGGGACCAAGAAGTACACACAGGCCCCCACCCCTACCCACTCGGCTTGCCATCCTGGGGCCACTGTGCCCTCAGCCCACGGTGCCCCGCTCACTGCCTTCCCATTTGTGGCTTAGGTTCTGAGTGGGGGCCTCGTGTTGCCACCCAGGCTTGCCTGTCACCGTGTCATTGTGCTCTGCTGTGTGGGGGCTGCACTGGGACCTAAGGAGTCCCAGACCAGCTGTGTCCAAAACTGCCGGCCGGCTCCAGTGGGGTGCGCCCCCTGGTGGTAACATGAAGCCCTGCGCTGCCCACAGCTCTGTTCCGTCTGGAATGGCATCAGGCTGGGCAAGAAGGCGCCTTCCCAGGTTGGGGACCCGCCTGGTGCTGCACGATGGCGTAAGCTTGGCAAAAACCCTGCTCAGGACTGACAGATGCCGCCTTGGGCTAAGCATCCTTGTGGAGCCCAGTCTAGGGACGGCTAGGGCAAAGGAATCTCTGGAAGGGAGTGAAGGGGAAGGGGCCAGCCCCAGGATCTCCCTTCTGGTACGCGGGGACCCCCTTGTCCAGTCCTGTGGGCAGTGTGGTATGGAGAAGCAGTGCCTAGGAGATGGGCCCTGGTGGGGGTGTTGGCCTCCTGGCATCCCTTTCTGCTCGATCCTTAGTGCCCCAGCTCAGTGACACACACGGTCGTACTGCACAGTGTTTTTTAATTGAAAAACAACTGACGTCAGAAGCAGCCCCGACTCAAGCTGGGTGTGATTGCCCTGACCCCACCCCCCACATACACTGAGACTGGCAGGCGACAGGTGGGGGTCCCCATGGGGGCAGGGGTGGTACAGAGCTATGCTGGGGACTCGCAGCCCCCTCCTGAATGTGGACTGGGAGCCCTGGGGCTGTGTAGCTTCTCTGGGATCACCTAGGCTTGGGGGAAGGCCTGGGCAGGGAAGAGTTGGAGAGCAACTGCCCCCCTTCGCTTGACCGGGAAGACCCTGCACTCTGGACCTGAAAATGTGAGAGAAGAGAGGGACAGTGGAGGGTGGAGAGTCCCAGACTGGGGGACACCCAAGGAGAACAAGGTAGTACCGCTGGATAGGGGCACCCTGGCAGGCTCTGGAGCGCCAGGAACCGAGAGGGCACAAGACCAACAAGTGGGGTGCACTCAACCGGGTCCTCTGTCTCCACCCCACTGTCCCGGCCTTCTCCCCCCATCCTAGGGCCAAGGACCATTTCCAGCAATCGTGCCTCGGGCAGTTTGGTTTCTGGGTGAATGTAAAGAAAACTTGGTCGGGGGAACCTCTGAGTGGCTAGGATGGGTGGCCAGAGACAGCTGGGATGGGGGCCAGGCTCAGGCTCCGTGCGCATGCTCAGGAGCCAGGGCGAGGGGGTCATAGGGCAATCAGTGGGGGCTGCGGGTCAAAGGAGGGGCCAGGGTTTCTCCCTCTGTGCCCCACTTCAGGCCAGCCACTGGGCTCCCCGGGGACCCTGTCCAGGTCTCCAGGCTGCAGCCGAGGCCTCTACTTCTTATAGTTGCCAAACTGGATGGCCAGGCGGTCGGTGACGCAGCGGAAGGTGGCCGGCTGCACCTCCCAGTAGGGCACAGGGTTGTTGAAAAGGCTGATGCCGTTGTAGTAGGCCCGCTTCACCCCGAAGCCCACGGGGCAGAAGTCGTTGACACCCACTGTGGTGATGTTGTTAGTGTGCAGATATACCACCTGGGGGCAGAGGGAACGCCTGTCATTCTCCCCGCATGCGCCGGGAGGCAGGAGAGGGAGTGGGCTGAGACCCTGGGATGTGAGCAGGGCCAGGAATGCCCTGTGTGGTGAGTGGACATGTCCCTGCAAGAAACGGGGCACCTCTGGGATCTCTGGTCCTCCTTTTTGGATTCCCAGTTCTGGATCTGTCCCCAGGAGAGAAGTCCAGAGACTAGAGGCGTGTGGCAGCGAAGCGCGCAGGAGGAAGGCAGAGAGCACAGCGCAGAAACGGTCAGTCCGCCGCTGCGCCCTCTAGAGGCAGAGAGGACAGTAGTCGCTAGAGGGCGCCCTCTGCTGGCAGCACCCAGCAGCACCCAACAGCAGCAGCAGCAGCAGCAGCAGCCAAGGGGCCCCTCTGGCCCGCAGCACCTCTGGGTGGGTGTGAACGGCGTCCAGAAAGAGATATGAGTTCACAGAAGGGAGGACAAGGCCAAGTTTGCCCTCGACACTACAGAGAAATGAAGCAAGCTCCCCCACCTGCACCCCTCCGCAGCAGGGCCATCCGCCTGGGACTCAGTCCTGGGGTCAGTCTGTGAGCCCAGACTGTTCCCTTACCGCATTGACTCGACCCAGACTTCCGGAGTCCCTTCTCCAGGCCTGCCTGGCTGACTCCTGTCCATCCCACCGCCCCGACGAGCGCACAGCTGAAGGTGGGGGGTGGGCAGGGCTGCCGTCTCACCTGCAGGAGCTTGAGGTCAGGGAGGCCGGCGGGCACCCGAGCCAGCTTGTTGTTGTCCAGGTGGAGCTCCCGGAGGCTGGGCAGGAAGCTCAGGCTCCCGTTCTCGATCATGCGGATCTGGTTGTGGCCGAGGCCCAGCCTGCGGCAGGAGAGAGGAGTCAAGTGAGGTGGGGTGTGCAGAGGCGAGGCGAGCGGGGAGACAGGGGCCTGGGGCCACACCTGTACAGCTTGGAGTAGCGGAGCAGGTCCTCCAGCTCAATGGCCTGGATCTTGTTGTGGTCCAGATGGAGCTCGTTCAGGGTCTCTGGGAGGTCTGCCGGGGAGATGGGCTGAGCCGAGGGCGGGTCCCCCTTCCCCGCCCCCGCGGGGTCCCTGGCCCTGCAGGGCTGTCTTCCTACCTTTGGGGATGCCCGTGAGCTTCGCCTCGGAGATGCGCAGGTAGTTGAGCTTCAGGCCATCGAAGGCTCCAGGCTCAAAGCCGCTGTTTTCCAGGGGGTTCCCGCCCATCTCTAGGAAAGAGCCCTCTCAGCATGGGGCTGGCTGAATCCCCACGCCCCTCCGCATCTGCCTGCCAGGCCCTGCGCGTCACCCACTCTCCCAGGGAGGAACTTGGAGATCCAAGCTGGGCCCTCCAGAACGCTCCAGAACTTCCCGCGAGCCACGCCGGACTCGCCCATGGCTCACCGATGCAGTTCATGTTGCGCAGGCCACTGAACACGCCCTTGGGCACCTTGCGGATCCTGTTGTCGTGAATTCGCAGCTCCACCAGTGAGCTGGGCAGGTTGGGCGGGATCTCCACCAGGTGGTTCTTGGAGATGTACAGCTTCTGCAGCCTGCGCAGCGGGCTGAAGGCCTTCTCGTGGATCTTGGAGATCTTGTTGTTCACCAGGACCAGAGCCTACAGCAGGGAGCCCTGAAGATGCGCCCTCTGCCTCTCCTCCCCACGCGAGCTGTCTGCCTCTGCCACCCTGTGCCTCAGTTTCCCACCTGACTGCCTCCTCCTTTGCTGACACGAGTCGGTCGGGTGAAGTGTTGGGGATGGGGTCCACGGCCGTCTGGGCTCGGGGGCTACTCCCAGCTCTGTGCTCAGGGCACCATACACAGTTCTGGGTATCGGACCAGGCGAGCCCCACTCAGGGCTCGGGTCCCCCTCCCCGCCCCCACTGTGCCGTGGGTGAGATTCTAGAAGTTGTGTGTTGAGCCCTGCTGGCGGCTGAGCCCCCTCCCACTCCCCGCCTTCGTGCCTACTACCCTCCTGCCGGCTGATGCACACGCGGGGGCGCAGGGGCGGCTTACGTAGAGGTGCTGGAGGCCCTTAAAGTCGTCCTTGCGGAGCTCGGAGATGTCATTGTTCTGCAGGTCCAGCAATGTGGTGTCCGGGGAGATGTCCTTGGGGACCGCCTTAAGACCTGTGGGCGGGCGGCAGTGTGTGTTGGGGGGGGGAGTCAAGGCTCCCGGCGCGGTTGCTAGGAGCCTCCTCTGTGCCCAGCCTCTGCAGAGGGCCACGCATGTGTGCAGCACAGGTGCTGCAGTCGGGGACCCGAACCCCACCTCAGCTGGATCCCTCCGCCCCCCGTGGGGACCGACCTAGATCGGAGCACTGGACCACACGCAGGTGGCAGTGGCAGCCGAATGGGCACATGGCACTGAAGGTGGGGGTGATGGAGTCCAGGTCTGGGGCGCCCGATGTGCTGTCGGCCCCCGAAGCCTCCTCGGCGTCATTCAGCATGGGAAGCCCGTCGTCCAGGGTGAAGTCCCAAAAGCCCCTCTGCTCGAACGGCAGGGCCTGGCCCAAGGCCAGCAGCGCCGAGAGGAGCCACAGGGGCCACATGGTCAGGTACCTGGGGGCAGAGCAGGGAGGGCTGTCAGAACGGCTGCCCCCCGACACCTCCCATGCCGGGGCGGGATGCGACGTCTTCCCTACCCATGTGTGCAGACACATGTGAACACACGAACACACGTGCACGCACAAGCATACATGCAAATTTACAGGTGCCCAGCTGCACACATGTGTGCAGAGCACCCGCACAGGTCACGGTGACGCACACACAAACACGAGTGTGAACGAACGGTCCATGGATACGCAGCCATGCATACGCACGTACGTGAGGGCAGGCCCATGTGCACACTCACAGCTTAGCACATACGCACACACACGTAGACTCATGGGCACAGAGATGGGACACACCTGCACAGGGACACCCACATGAATACACGCTTATACATGCCTGCACACACATGCATGGACGTGTGCAAGAAGGCGTGTCTGTGGGTGCGCACACGTGCAGACACACATGCGCACCCATGGGCATGCACAGGCCCCTGGAGGCACTGAGGTCAGCATGGGGGCTTGGGGGCCAGGAGCCACTCCCTGAGGGCTCCTAGAACCCACACTTGAACAGCCACATGGGGCCAGAGGCCTGGAAGGAGACGAAGTGCCCCAGGGCAGCACAGTACTCCTGGATCCTGCCTGCAGCCCATCCCCCTGAAGGCCTGCCCAGGGAAGGGGTGGTGGGCAGGGGCAGAGGCAGACTTGCCAGAGAACCCCCAGGCCGGGCTTGTGCCCACATGTGCCCATGGAGACAGCCCCTAGGCTCACTAGCAGGGCCGGCCCAGTACAGGGAAGGGGGACCCCTGCCTCTCCCCTCCGTTTCCGGGGAAAGTCCCAGCCAGGGGGCAAAGCTGTGGGTGGGAGCTCCACTGGCCGCCAGGCCCCTCCCAGGGAGCGCTCTCTATCCCCCCTCGCCCACCTGGACAGGGGAGGGGCTGTTGGGGGCCCCACCCCGCCGGGCCCCAGTCCCACAACCCTACCTCATTCCCACCCTGCAGCGCGGTGTTGTGGTGGGTTTACCGACGCAGGAAGATGCTGCCCCCGCCCCCTACCCCACTGGGCCCTCAAGGGCACTCCCAGGAGGGACGCTCTGCGTAGGGGTACAGCCCCCCCTCCCAGGTTGTGAGCAAGAAGCACGGGGCACCCGGCCTGGCAGGATTCTGGAGGGAGGTCGAGGCCCGCCTGCCTGCTCCCCTCTTCATTTCCCTCGCAGCCTGGGCGCGGTGGCGGTGGGGAGACGCCGGGGCCTCCTTGCGCAGCCCCTGAAAGCCTGTGCAGCGCTCCAAGCAGGGCTGCCCGGCCAAACAAGCCACATTGGCAGCCTCTGAGAACATGGTTGGGCCGTGCCAGGCATTCAGGCCAGGCCAAGGGCGGTGGGAGCAGGACCTGAGGCTGGCAGGCCGGAGTGTGGCAGATGTGTGGCCTGGGGCTGCCAAGTAGTCTCGGCCCGGGGCACCGCCCGGCTGCCACCTTCCAGCCAGGCTGCAGGGGCCCCCACACCCCGCGGCCTCAGCGTTGCCCCGCGAGAGGGGACCTAGGCTTCTGTCTGCGGGGTGACTGTGGCAAAATCTGCTGGCTGCAATGTCACAAAGTCCTGGGTTCCTACTTGCCAGGCTCTTTCTAGAAGCTTCCAGGAAGAGGGAGATGGCTCTCACCTCCCAGGAGCGGGCCTGGGGCCGGGTGATCTCTTCACAGAAGGAAGCGCCACTTGCTAGTTGGGTAAGCTGAGGCTCCCCGTGTGCCTTAGCGTCCCCGAAGGGCCCCCTGCGCAGCCCCTCTGCCCGGCCATTGTTCCGGAGCCTGGCTGGGCGTTCCTTCTCCCCTTCCTGGGCCCCACACCCCCAGACCAGCCCCACTCAGCTCCCTTCGCCTGGGCAAGCCAGGGAGGTTCCCGAGCGAGCGAGCGAGCGAGCTTTCTAGACCCCCCAGGCTGAGACGCTCCGCTGGGCTCCCCAGAGCCGCCCTCCCCCGCCCATCCTGGAGTCAGGCCAAGGCGAGGGGCTTGGCTCTGAGCCCCAGGAGGGGCCTCCCAGCCCGGGGGCTCCCCACAGCCCTGCCCAAGCCCCAGTCCTGCTCGGGTGGGCTTCAGCCCCCCAAGCCCTCAAGGTGTGTCAGTGCGAGGAGGGGATGGCGAGGGGTCCTCCAGGAGGAATGGGAGCTCCGCGTGGGGGAAGGGCCTAACCTCAGGACCTCCCCGCTGGAAAGTGGGGGGATGAACCCCAGATCGCTCTTCAGCACGAGACTGCTGGGAAATTCCTTATAGAAGGTTGGGGAGAGGCTCTGGTGGCTCCCCGCAGCCCCTCTGGGACAGTCACGGCTGGGGGTGGGAGCGTCAGCGACCTCCCAGGGGATCCCCAGGGGACATTTCGCCAAGGCCGTGGGGGGGGGGGGGTAACAGGGTCATGAAGGGTGTGGGGAGGCGGGGTGTAAGGGCTGGAGGAGGGGGCAGGAAATGCAGGAGCGGGGGTAGGGGGCAGTCACTAGCGACTCCATGACACAGAGAGGGCTCTTTCATCCTGTCCCCAAGTCACCGCCCTGAACAGAATCGCCAGCACACCCACCACAGAAGGGCTCCTGGGCTTTGGATACTGCCTGGCCACTGTGGCAGGGTTGAGGGGGGTCTGGAGGCCCTCCAGGCCAGAGCTAGGGGTTCGAGGGCTGAGCCTAGTCCTCCCTGGGAGCCATGGACCTCACCCAACTGCGGAGAGCACGCCCAGTCCTGGCCCAGCGGTGATCCCCTCGCTGCAGCAGGGGGACAGGCGACCTCCAGGGAGCCATTCAGAAGCTGGGAAGAGGGCTGGGGGCTCCCTTTTCGCAGGGTCCCAGTAGGCCAGGGCCGTATGGCACTGTGTCAGGCTGAGGAGCCAGGACAGAGCTGCCCAACAGCCGTGCACAGGCACTGCAGCTGGCCAGGAACTGGAGGCAGGGAATGCCCCGTGGCTACGTGGGGAGTCCGAGCAGGGTTCTGGGCCAACCTGGGAGAGAACAGCATCGGCCCAGACACTGAGCCTGTCGCACATGGTGTCCTCCGGCTCAGGGGACCAGCAAGGCTACCAGAACAGGGCTTGCCCACGGCTTGCCCCAAGAGCTTTGGCAGAGCTGGGCTTGCCCGGCTGCCCTCCCGTGCCCTGGCGATGCTCTGTGGCAGGCAGCAGGGGGCCAGGACCCCAGGGGAACCTGACTGAGCTCCTGAGGTCAGACGGGAGAGGGCTGTGGAAGGGCAGAAAGGGCCCGCCGGTGTCCCGGGCAGGCGGCAGGCGGGAGGAGCAGAGGGCCGCGATGTGCCCGCCGCCCGGTCCGGCCGGCCGTCGTCGGGCCGAGCGCGGCAGCCTGCGGGGTGGCACGAAGCCCTACCTGGGGCGGGGACGGAGGCTGTCTAGTTGGCAGCGTGGGTGTCGCGCGGTCTCGTCCGGGCCGTCTGGCGCAGCTGCTCGCTCCCGGACTGGCGGCGGAGAGAGGGAGCCGGAGGGGCGGGAGGGCGGCTAAAGGCTGGGCGGGCGGGGGCGGGGAGGGGCGCCGAGGGGGCTGGGCGGGACGAGACTGGTGGGAGGGGGCAGGCTTCCCGGCCCCCCTGACGGCTTCAAAGGAGCAATTTTCTCGTAGACGTAGACGGTGGGGCTACTCCCCCCTCCTCCTGGCGCGTGCACCCCAGCCCGCCCCCGCGTGCACACAGCTCCCTCCCTCACCCCGGGACCCCAGGCCTTACACAAACTTTCCACTGCCAGCATGGGGCCACTGAGGCCCAGCGCGGGATCTGATGGCGCCCTGGGTGAGACGCAGAGAGGGAAGGAAAAAGAGGAGGCGGCCTACGGGTGCTGCTCCAGCCAGCGGCGCCCCAGAAGTCTCTCCTGAGACCCCCGGAGCTTGCAGCCCCCTGCCGGGCCCAGCACAAAAGCGGTTCCCAGTCCAGCAGGCACGCACCACAGGCAGCCTGCGGCCCCCTAAAGCAGACGAAGAGCCCTGTCCTAATGTCTGGGGCCTGACTCGGCACGAAGCGCCAGCCCCGAGGCTGAGAGGCCAGCATCTTGCTCAACCCATGCAGGTCCCCCAGGGCACGAAGGCTCGGCCACTTGCAGAGCGGGGCCACCAACAGGCGAGACCCCCGAGATCTTGCAGGTCCAGCGCAGCGGGGGGTGTGCGCGTGGAAAGCAGCTGAGGCCGGCACCAGGAGAGGCCCCAGGCGCTGTGGTGGCCCGCCCTGTGTTTGCGGGAGCGGGACGTGGGACGGGGTTCAGTGGCGCAGAGACCGTCGCTGAAGTGGGTGCCATTGCGCTCACCCCACTTCAGCCCTGTTTGCCAGCACTTCCCCGGTCCCTCAGTCCCTAGCACTGGATGTGCCCAGACAGCGGTCAAGCGCCTCATCAATGGTAGCACCAACACAGTAGCGGGCGTGGCAGGAGGAAGAGGGCACAGATGGTCCAAAGCACGTCTGCAGACCCCTGGCTGCTCACCAGACCACGTCCAGTGGAACAGAGGGTGGGGTCAGTGGGCAGAGGAGTCCTGGCCAGGCCCACAGAGGCTGGAAGGAACCACGGAAAGGTTGGGCTTGGCCTTGGGGGTGCTGAGAAGATTCTGTAGTTGATTGAGACAGTGAAATAACTCTGCGTCACATGTTTAGAACTGGACACGCGGGCTACGAAGGTGGCTCAAAGGGCCGGTGTGCGTGCCTGGGTGCACATTCCCGCACCCCAGTCTCCCCTAAAACCACTGACCATAACACTGGTGATCCCCAAGACTGCTGGGGAGTTTCAAAAATCAAATCCTTCAGGGGTTGGAGCGATAGCACAGTGGGTAGGGCATTTGCCTTGCATGCGGCTGACCCAGGTTCGATTCCCAGCATCCCATCTGGTCCCCCAAGCACCGTCAGGAGTCATTCTTGAGTGCATCAGCCAGGAGGAACCCCTGTGCAATGTCGGGTGTGACCCAAAAAGCAATAAATAAATAAATAAATAATAAAGTAAAATCCTTCAAACCAAAAAAAATGGAATTAGATGAAATGTAGGGTGTGCGTATGGAGTCCTACGAAAGCCTGTACCAACCCAGGGGTGACATTCCAATGGCCCAAGGAGCCGTTAGTCCTCTGGAGACTCCAGGAGCCACTGGAGCAGAGTCTCATCCTGTTCAGGCCGGGGCTGAGCCCCAGGCTTGGGGGTCTTCCTGGAGGAGGAGTTGGAGAAGGTGGAAGCGAAAGGACAGGACCAAGTGGCAAGGGTCATTACGTGGCCGCCATGAGGGGAGCCCCTGAGGGGTGTGTTCTTCACACTTGGGGGGTGCAGAGGGGTGTGGAAATCGAACCTGTGTACATCCGGCTTCTGTGCTTGCAAAGCTCTGGGTCTGTGGTTTGCAATCCGCAGTGAGCCTGGCCCTCTAATTTGGGGGCTGCCCCAGGCAGCACCTAGTCTGGGACCATCTCCTGCGCCTCCCGTAGTCCATCTCTCTCTCCCGGTGGCACGAGACTTGGTGGCTGGGGCCAGACTGAAGGAGGAGCAGCAGGGCCGGGCGGCAGGCGGGGGCACCCATGGAGGCTGCACGGGAAGGGACTCGAGCTGGACCCCAGGCAGGAAGACCTGGAATGCACCCCCACTGCTAGCTGCATGGCCATGCCCCGCCCCTGTTCCCAACGGGACACCACACTGTGAGGGCAGGCCTGGAGCAGCTGCAGCCCCGTCGGCCTGGGTGGGAGGCTCCCCAGCGTGGCCTCTGAGCCTTTCTGGCCTCTCCTGCAAAGTGCCCACTACCCTCCCTGCTCGCTCATGCCTCCTCAGGTTTCCCCCCTGCCCCTCTGTCCCTCCTGGGTCCTCTCCTCAGCCCAGCTCACGTGCCGGGTGAGGACAGCATGGAGGCCAGATGGTAGTGCCTGGAGGGCTTCTGGGAGGCGGTGGCTTGTCCCATTCGGGCGCACAGGAACCGTCCTGGAGCATGCGATCTGGCGAGAGCAGGCAGAGGCTGCGTCCTGCGGGGCTCCCGGTGTGGCTGTCCCCGAGTCCAGCCTCGGAGACCAGGCAGGCTGGGTCCGCGATGGCTACAGGAACCCAGCCGCGGGGGATATTTGGGGGGACCGTTCTCCATGGGGCCCCAGAGTGTGCGGCTGTCGCGTGGGCAAGGCGCGGCTGGTGAAAGTTGGCACCCCGCGCTCTTGCCCAGAGCTTTTTCTGACCTTGCCCGGGGCCATAATCACACAGCAGCTCCCCACGGGGCGCCAGGGTTGTAATTTCAGGGCCCAGAGGGGTTCCGTGGAGCCCTGCTATCTTTAGAGAAGCCGCCCGGGGTGTGCCCACACAGGGAAGGTGCAGTCTGGGCTGTGGCAGGTGGGGTTCCGGGGTGCCCGCTTCCACCCGGGGGTCCCCCAGGCTGGGAGTCTCCAGGCCGCCTCGGCCCCAGGTCACTCCGTCTCAGCTTGGGCCCTGCCCAGGACCAGGACACCCAACTCGAGGGTCTCCCCAGCTCCGTGCAGCATGAGCCCAGGCCAGGGCGCAGGGTCCTGTGCTGGCTTTTCCTGCCCTCCCCCTCCCCCCGGCCAGAGTCCTCTCGGAGCTGGCTTCTGGGGAACCCCAGCCGGGTTCGAGCAGCACCCCCCACCTGCCCAAAGCTCCCGGCTCTCTGTAAAGTGCCTCCGGCTCCCCTCCCTGGGGACTGCCGGCAGCCCCTACATTTCCTGTGCTCCTAAGCCTGACCTCGAAGGGGCTGCAGAGGGCTAGGAGAGCTGGGGAAGCTGGGGAGGGGGGCGAGGGGCTCCCCACTGCCGTGCCTCCAGGCTGCTGACCTCTGACCCAGCCCAAACAGGAAGTGCCCTATCTGCGGGCTGGAGGGAGCCGAAGGAATGCGGGGAGGAATCCAAAGCAAACAGTCCACCAGCTTCCCAGGCCCAGAATGGGGGGCGGGGGGGACGGGCTGCAGAAGCAAAACTCCTCAGGGCTCCCAGTTCCCAGACACCACCCCCCCAGCCTGACCCTCCACGACCCTGAGCTCCCCATTCCCGCTCTGAGCTCCCTGCCCTGCCTCCACCCTGAGCACTGTGGCACCCTGAGCTGCCCAGGCGGGCCCAAGCATCATCCCTCACACAGACGGGGTCACAGTTCCAGGAACCTCAGAGATTCAAAGGCCAGCAGGCAACAGCAGTGCAGCCCTCGGGGCACCCTGGGGTCTCCCCAGGCTACACCTGCTCCACTGGGACCAAGCGTTGGGGACTGGGTGCTTCTCGCCACTTTCCCATAGAACCAGGTGAAAGAAAGCGCTGTGGGTCCCACATCCCCGGGCAAGTCACCCGAGCTGCTCCTGCCTGGCTTCTGCCTCCGCGAGCCCTGCTGTGGGCACCCCAGGATGACCTGGGCTGGGGGAGAGGCCCCGTCACCTGGATGGGGCTGAGGGGGCTGGGGCGGGTGGCACCCAGCAGTCTTCGCCTCGGGGCCCCATGCACAGGGGCTTCCAGGTTGCGCTCGGGAGAGGAGGCGCGTGCCTTGTCATAGACGGAGCCCGGAAGTAGGTGACAAGATCTCAGAGAGGGTCCGCATGGGGAAGTCCGAGGCCCAGAGAAGGAACCCCTCGGGAATGCACCCTGTCCCTTCCTGGCCTCCTGGGGTGGCCATGGGGAGGGGGCAGCGGCGGCCCAGTCTCATCTGACCTCGTGGCTCATGAAGGGTCCCATGGCCCAGAGGGTGCCCACGGCTGCTGCCGGGAGAGCACGCGTACCTGGGTGGTGGCCTGAACTGCACCCCAGAGCACATACTTGAAGCCAGGGGACCCTGGGGTCCAGCGAGGCCAGTGTGAAGTGGGAGAGGGCAGAGAAGCTTCTAGAAGGTGTCTGAGCAGGGCCGGGGGCCCGTTTGCCAGCATCCCCTCTCCTCCCGCAGCGGGGCTTGACCGGCCCCCAGCCCCCAGCCCCCAGCCCAGGCCCGCGGCGGGCGTGGAGCGCAGCTGGCCCCTCCCAGGCGGCTGCCTGCTTTCCGTTGCCCCCTTGGCAAGAGGGGCAGAGGAAAACGGAATAATTAAACCCAAACGTCCTGGTAACTTTTTCCTGGAACGAGAGGATGCAGGGCGGGAGGTTCCAGTCCACTGGCTGGCGGGGTGACCCCGGCTTTCTTGCCCCCGTCCCCTCCTCCCCAGAAGTGCCTGGGGATGGTCGGAGCCCGACGCTCACAAGGCCGGTGCTCCTCCTGCTCCTGAACCACGTCCTCAGCCCGCGGCCCGGCTGGGTGGGCCCGGGTGCCTCCGCTCCCGCAGGCTCCGGCCCTTATTTGGCAAAAGGGTCTCTGGCGATGAGAGTACGGAAAGGCTGCGGTATGAGCTCATCTGGGAAGACGGTGGCTCCCCGCCAACGCAGGTGTCCTTAGCAGTTGGCGAGGGGGACGCGACGGAGCCCCAGGGGAGCGCAGCAAAGCCCAAAGGTCTCCGCGGCCTGCTGCCCCCCCAGTAA